CCGGGGGTTCACGTAACAAACATATACAGAGGACCCAGAGATATACATAACATTACATACATTCCCTTTTCGTGTGCAAGAAGCTGCCTCTGTGTTGAGTATACGCCTAATACGGCCTCTGGAACTCATCGCACAATAATGGGAAACCGCTCCCATTACCGCTACCACAAACTGTAAAGGAGATGAAAATCTTACCCGCACTACAACTGATGGTATTCTACTCGCGGAAAATGAAATCGACCGAAATGAAGTACCCGATCCATAAACAAGAACTCCTCGCACTTGTCAAGTTCGTAAAAGCACATCGACAATTCCTCATTGGCCACCCATTCACCATTTTCACTGATCACAAAAGTCTGACATATCTTCAAACCCAACCGATACTCAGCAAACAACAAGCTGGCTGGGTCGAGACACTCCAAGAATACAACATGACGATCGCGTACCTTGCCGGACGATGGAACACCATCGCCGATGTGCTGTCCCGCAACCCAGTCTACGCACCAAAATGCGCGAACTGCAATTGGCAAGCCATCATCTTTGCACTAGATCAACAGCTGTCCAATGCCAACATACATCACGGTCGAACACTGGCAAGAAACTACTCGTCAAGATCCGTTTGCCATCCGCGCCCGAGAATGGTTGGATCAGGAAGAACAAAACCAACCCAACCGCTACTGACGGTTTTCTGAAGAGCCAATGACTCACATCTTACACTATGAAGGTGAACGACATTATGTCTTAGCAGAACTAAAGGCAGAGGTCTTGCAACAGCACCACAATCAACTCCCAAAGGGTGCACATGACGGAATGGAGACCACTTACGCAAAGCTCTTGCAACACTACTACTGGCCCAACATGCGCAAAGGTGTCCGCACGTACATACGAACATGTTGACAATGCCGGCAATTCCAGTCACCACGACTATATGGCCTTCTCCAACCATTACCGATTCCCGCAGGCATCCATCATGCTCATGTGTTCGACTTCTTTCATCTCCCTGACGCGAGCGCAACTCCCGGGCAACTGCAAGTCTTGATGGTCATTGACTACTTAAGCCAACGTTTATTCCTCGTTCCAACCACAACAACCGTCACCAGCCATGAGTTGGCGCAACTCTACATGTCGACTGTATGGAAAAATACAGCAACACCTCAAGTCTTTGTGTCAGACAGAGAACCACGAGCACTAGCCAACTTCTTTACAGCATTCATTCAACTTGTGGGTACCCGCCACGAATTTGCCACCGCACACCATCAGCAGAGGGACGGAAGGTGCGAGCGTGCGATTCAGTAAGCCAAAAACATTATCCGCAAGTACCTGGACTACAGCAGACAAAACTGGAAGCAGGTCCTCCCACTCGTTGAGTTTGCCATGAATACAGCTCCACGTCGTAACCTTCTCGGACTAACACCATTTTAAGTCAAAATTGGTCGAAACCTGGCACTCTGAGATGCAGAAACGACTTATACTAAAAATCTGACAGCACCAGCGATGACTCATTTTTAGTTTAACCAAATACGCGGGACATCGAGCATAGACCCACGAGATTACCCCGATGCTCTCCCCCTGTCAACGCCGGAAGAGATGGAAGAATCCCCTGAGCTCAAAGTAAAAATACCCCGCGCTAAGTAATACCAAAAACACCACCGCATGGCCTTAGGAAGAAGTGGAGCGTTATGGATTTGAAATAGTCTAGTATATAAAGGGTTGAGCGAGCGCTCAAAGGAATAGACAACAAGTCCTTATCATCCTTAACTCCTAGCTACTTCACTTCTTGCTGTCATCACTCAATCCACCCCCGTGCACCTTACAGGGGCCGCCTGGCTGGAAGCTCAATGACCGGAAACTCTCACTTCGACAGCCAGACCTTCAAGCCATCGAAGCATGGCAAGATGCAGCACAACGCATCCATCTTTCTGTCCGACAAGAACTCCGTGACGCTCAAGATCGCGAAGAATGCGCATATAATCGTGGCCGGATTGCCATCAAGTTCAAACCCAATGACCAAGTCAATTTATTCCGCGAAGGCATCGTTATCGACACGGACGCCCAGAAACCACTCAAACTGACCGACAAGTGAATCGGACCATTCACAGTACTCCATCCTGGCCCACACCTGTCTAGACACCTATGAGCTTGATCTCTCCGGCTCGGTCATTGGCAATATCTGGCCCGTTTTCCATGTCAATGTTCTGCGACGGCACGTATCCACAATGCACCCTTTATGGCCTAACCCACCGGCGCTGTCACCAATCCCCATTGGCGGTCATCAAGAATGGCCCATTGTTCGACTCAAGGGAGAGCAATTCAATCGTCCTAAGAACACTCGCGAATATTATGTCGAGTGGGAAGGAAATTGGCGGAACACCTGGGAACCCGAACGTCTCCTTGACCAAATAGAAGCCTTCGAGAAATGAATACATGATAACCCGAAAAACCAGCCCGGCTTACAACCAGAGAAAGAAGATATATAAAGAAAGTGATATAGTAACAATTGTAATAGTAGTAAAGGAATTCCACAGCTGAGGCATGGGCGCCCCTGCGAGGTAAAATACTGTGAGAGGGACGCCCCCACAAGGTTGCCCACTTTAGTCCGGCACAAGGCATCAATTCCGTGAACCAAGAGAAAGGGTCTGGCACAAGGCATCAATTCCGTGATCAAGGAACTATAGAAATATCATTTGTGCGTCCAGTCGAAGTCTGACTGCACGCAAGGGGGAGTGTGACATGCATATGATCTTAGCCAAGAAATCCAACAGTGACCAACAGCTTGTCACATGACTCACGCCGTGCTGGTACCTACCCCGCTACTGCGCCACATGTCAAAGACCTGTCGACCTTAGAATAATTCATTCCCTCCCTTTTACCCGGAGTCACATGGAGAGGCAATCAATACCAAGGAGATACTAGCGCGTGGAGGTAGCCATAGGATTTGAAATCCCCAAGTATAAATAGCAGCCCTGTCCCCGTAAGAAATCCAATTCTTATCATCTTTAAAAACAAATTCTCCCTCCGCTCAATACCACCTTCTCAACCTCCATAAAAACTTCTAAGTGCCTACTGCTGCACTTTACAATTACTGATGTGATTAATGCGTGAAGATGGAAGCTTCACAAGTGATGCCAATCCTTAGATCATGGAGGACAGACTGGGGCACCCACTCAGTATCAGTGCTCCATCTCTGGAAGGTTTGACCCATGGGCAGGGGCCCATGGCACCAAATCTGAGGAGGGTGTAATGTAAGGTACTCAACATTGTACTACGCATGTTGTAATGTGCCGCTCGGCAGGGGCACGTTTATGTAATGTCAAAAGCAGAGGAGTCAAACCTCTCTTCCTTGCGGGGCTGCCGTCCTTCTGTGAGGAAGAAAAGGCAGCCCATACTGCATCTAGGACCGCCTAGATATAGCAGCACGGCGCGCAGCTCCGGGCGCCCGTTGCTGCGCACCACTACGACACACGCGTAGTACAATGTCGGGTACCTCACATTACACCCCCCTCAGGTTCGGTCCCGTGGGCCCCCCCGCGGGCCCCGAACCTTCCAGAGATGTAGTACCGACACTGGGTGGGCGCCGCAGTCCGTCCTCCACGGCCTGGGGTCGGCGCCGCTCGAACAGGCACTTCTGAGAGTCGCAAGCTCGTTCCCCGGAGACCCTCCGGGCGGGCCTTACCGAGGCCCGAGTCGGCCGAACGTACGCACGGTGGGCATACGCTCGTTGCGGGCGCGACCACGGCCCGGGTCAGGACAAAGGTGACCACGCTCGAGGTTGTTTTATGGGCTGCGTGAGACCCTCACGCACGACCCGCACACATGGCGGGCCCCGTCGGCGCGCACACACACGGTGGGCCGAGGCTTTACGCGGTGAGCCCTGCGCGGCACGTCACCTAAGCCCTGGAGGCCGCGAGATACGCTCAGCGTCCTCCATCGCCCCATCTAAGGCAACCCCCGGCCTTGGTTCTATGCGAACTCCTCCAGAACGCATAGCCACCCGGGACCCTCCCACATGGTGCCTACGGGGGACGCCTAGGGGCCCCGTGTTTGTTCCCGGGCTCGGAATGTAGCGAGGAAGCAGCGGGAGATGGCCGTGAAGCAGCGGGGAGTCGCTGTGTCGATTCAGCTCGTTTCGATGAGTAGACGGGCCGTAACGGCGTAGCAGCGGGCTGTGGCCGCGTGGTGTCGTAGTGTCAAAGCGCGACCTGTCAGGTCACGTGGGCGGCGCGCGTCGCGTCGGGGGGCCGTATTTGTTGTCAGCTCAAGGTGGCGCGGTGTGGCGCGTGCATCCCTTGACAGTCCCCCTATTTAAGGCAAGAGGCTCTCCCCGTCCTTGTTGCCTCGCGCACATCCTTTGCTGCATGCACGCACGCCCGCACGCAACACACACACACACACACACACAGACGCACACGCAGACACACATACCTTGCAACTATGCTGTCGACTGTCCACACGACCCTTGTGCAGGCCAACCTGACCATGCGCATCAAAATCCGGGTCTCGGATGGAGTCCAGCTAGACGTCGTGGCGGACGATCATATTGTGGTAGGCTACGCTATGCATCCGCGACGAGTGATCTTCGTCATAGTCAGTCCTCAACAGGCAATTGTCGCCTCTGACGATAATCCCCTCTCGCCGTCAAAAACAACGGCCGTGGTCCGAGGATACGACGTCCCGGCTCAACCCTCGAGTAGCCGGAGGTGCATGGGCGCACTGGTCACTTTTGAAGGAATCGACCTTCGCGAAGGGACGCCGGAGTTGTTGGCCGCAAGCGGGAGCCATGCGGAACTTGGCAAAATGCGGGCTCGCCGGGGCCTGGTCCTTCTTCCAGACACAAACGCACGCAGAGCTACGAGTTGGGGAGTGCGCATCGAGGTCTGGTGATTTGGCGATTGGCGCAAGGGCAGTGCGCCCAACTACAGATCGGGAGGGTACAGGTTCGAATCCCGTATCGCCACAGGATCACAGGCCGCGAGTTGCAGGAAAGAACAGTGCTTTTGTGTAATATAGTTTGAATAGCAGGCACAAGAAAGCCCTTTATCATACACCTCTCTCCATGTCTGGCTACTTGCGTGCCCGCGCCCTACGGCGGCTGTTCTGGGCTGCACCCCTCGCCCGTGTGCCCCGTGCTGTCCGTTCTTCCGCAGGCAGTGCATGCGAGGTTGCGAGTACATTGGTGCTGTGGAGGTTCTCTTCCGTCTCCCACGTCCCCTCGCTGTCTGCGTACCCGGCCCATTTCACGAAGTATTCCACCCCTCCACCTTGGGTACTGCGCTGCTCGAGTATGCGCTCAAGGTAGTGCTCTACAGTCCCGTCCTCGAATTCCAGGGGTGGCGGCGGGGCGTCGGCGCTTCGTAACGTGCAGGCCGTGGGGTCTACGTACGGCCGCAGTACGTTGACGTGGAACACCGGGTAGAGTTTCTCGTGTATGAGCGGGAGGTGTAGCTCATACGTGTTCGGGTGGGGACCTCTCCCTTTCACGACGAAGGGCCCCAGCCAGGCTGGCGCTAGCTTGCTGGGCTTGGTCTGCAGGTACGGCGCGTCGATGCCGTCCCTACTAAG